GGGATGAGCGCGGCCCCAGAACGGAAGCCAGGGTTCCGGTTGGGTTGCTTTGTTTCCTGCATGTGTTGCTCAAGGGTGAGTCGCTTTGCCTCTCTGCCTCAGTGTCCTCATCTGTAGAATGGGGACAGTCAGTATCCCCGTATCATTGCAAGGCAAATAAAGCACTCAGTGCGATGCGTGTTCCTGGGGAGCACCCCATAATGCTGTTACTCCTCAATTTCTTTCTGAGCCTCAGGCATGCCTGCGAGGTGGGGGCCGTTGTCTTCTCCATCCCTCCAGGGATTCAAACCTAGGCCTGCTGCCCTCCAAAGCCATGTTTGTTCTGCATTAACGGAGGAGTGTGGACATGCATAGGCATGCGGTATGTGCATGTGACACGTGTGCACACATGCACACGGGTGTTCTGTGCTTCCCCTGGTATTTCAGTGGTCCCCAGAGGTGGGCTGGTGTTTGGGGGCACTGTGTCCGGTTGGGGCTGGCCCCCCTCCTGGTTCCATGGTGGGTCACTCCTGGGGATGCCTGGGCCAGCGCCCCCCTCCCAACTCTGACGGGTGCTTCTCCCAGCCCAGGGCCAAAGAGATACTGGGCTCCAGGGACGGGAAGGCGGCCCCTTGGCCCGGCCGGCTGCGCTCTGGGCCCTGGCCAGGCACGGCGCTGTCTCCTCGAAGGGACAGGCGGTTCTGGGCGCCGGCCATTTGCAGACTGCCAAGGATGGAAGTGAGCCTCCAGGCCCGGAGAGGAAATGGCGGCCCGGGCAGGCCCGGGACAGGATCCGGGAAGGCGGGCCGCGGGAGGGAGCGGCCGGAAGGCCCTGGGGTGGGCCAGGCAGTGTGCTGGACGCCCCCCTCCGAGAAGTGGGCCACAGGCTGGCCTCCCCACAGGGAGTGCACACGAGGCCTGCGTGGCAGGCCCAGTGGCCTGGTTTCCCCATCAGGAGCATGGCGGGACTGGAGGCCCAGTGAGACGGCGCCAGCGCGCAGCGAAGCTGTGATGGAAAAGGCCTCAGTTCTGTCTTTAAGAGGGCGTGATGGCGCTGGACTCAGGAAACAGTCAGACGTCAAAGGAGGACCCGACTGGGAGGCACACAGTGGGTTGGTTTTTTTCCCACATTGACCTCCTAGAAAGAGAACAGAAGCCTGGGCACTCAGGTGAGCTGCCTGCCTGTCCCAGACTCAGTTTCCCCATCTGTAAAGCCAGGCATAAGTCCTAACCATGGGTTTTTTGGGGCATTAGATGTAGTGATGTCACCCGGCATTAATCTCGTGCCTGCAGTGGTCCCTTGACGGGAAGCAGATGGTGGTGGACCCTGGGAAAGGGTCTCCGGCCTCCGTCCCTGAGACGCTCTGGCTTCAGAGCTTCTCCGTGGGCTCGAGGGGAGGTGGGGGCGGGGTCTCACCCAGAAGGGAGCAGCTGGTGGGGCATGTGAGGGAGCCTCTGGCCCAGTTTCCTGGGCGCCAGGCCCTGCCCCAGGATTCCTGCGGAGGGTGTGCCCGCGCTTCCGGGCGTGGGCGGGGGGTCCTGGAGTCCCCGCCGTTTCCTCTGCTGAGCCGCTGGGTGCTGCTGCTGCCTCCAGCTTGGGACAAGGAGTCCTGCCGGGCCTGGTGCATGGGGCCCAGTGCCCAGTCTCCCGTGACTCGGCCGCAGGGGCCTCAGCAGCATGGTGAAAGTGCCCTCCAGCCTGCACCTCTGTTGTTGGGATGCACAAATAGTAAATCGCCCAACGCCAACATCTTTGGAGGCTTCGGAACCTGCCAGGTGGGCCTCGGGTCTCAGGCCTCCTTCCTGGATGCTCCGGCACCAGAGGTGAGCTCGGCCCCGCCACGGAGTCACGCGCAAACAGCCGGCCTGGTTGGTGCCCATGACAGGCTCTCAGAAGCAGCCTCCAGGTGGGCACTCCTGGGCCAGGCAGTGTGGCAGGCCGCCACAGTTGGTATCAAGCTGCCACGGGAGGGATGAGTGAGTCTGGCTGGGGCAGGGCCACTGGGGGACCCAGAGTGGCAGAAGGCCCTTTCCGGGGGCTGGTGGAGAGAGCTGGGGGCCGCACTTGGCCCCCCAAGGGAGGGCCAGCGCTTGTCGGATTGCACAAACAGGACTCAGCCCTCAGGGTTAGAGGCACTGTCTTTTGTTGACCTACTGAGCTCCAGGCGCAGGGCTAAGTACTTTAATCCACTTTTGTTAAAGTGTCCATTCCTAAATTAAATCTGCCCAGTGCACTTCATTTCAACATCCAGTCGGAGCCAGCATGTGCCAGCGCTTGTCCAGCTCTGGAATATGGTGCAGACGGGATGACCATGGATGGTCCCTGCCCGCGTGGACGGTGGATGTTAAGTTTTCTGTGTAAGAAAACCCCAGCTCAAAGAGGCCAGAATGTCCCCAGAGTCACACAGCTGGCTCGTGCAGAGCCTGCCCCCATGCCCAGGTCTGCCCACAGGACCCACACTCTCCCTGGCTGGGTGGGAACCTGCTTATTTTCAGCCTCTCATGGCTGCTGGGTTCCTCCCGGACCTGCAGCATGACGGGGCCCTGCCCTCTGCCCCAGAGTTCTTCTGCCCTGAGGGAGAGCCAGCATGGCCTCCATCCATAGCGTCCCAGTGGCGTGTCGCACTGGTTCTGCAGGTCCTCAGGACTCAACTCTGGCTGGGTTTCCATTACCCCAGGACCTGGGACTTGCTGGCTGGGGCTGATGCAGCCTGCGAGTGCCCGACTGTGGCCAGGGCTCCAGGCCCTTGTGACTCAGAGTTCTGGTTGGGCTGTGCACGATGCACAGTGAGGCAGCAGGCGTTGGGAAGGAGAGAGCCGTGGGGTCACCCTAGAGCCTAGAGGTGGAGTGGATGAGCTTGGAGGCCCAGGTGATCATGGATGCTCTACAGAGAGTTTATCGCTCAGACACCAGGAATAAAAACCTTTGGGAGATGGGGTAAAAACTAAAACAGGCAAAGCCATTTTGCAGCCATTGGTGTTCTCAGAATGGCCCTTTCTGCTCTGTGCCAGACCCAGACCCTTCCACTGTGCTGGGAGCCTGCAGTGTTAGATGAGGGCCTGGGGTTTTTCATGGGTTCTTCACGATGGCATCCACTGCAGATGCCATTCTGCATCTGATGGGTGCTGACCTCTGTCTCGTGGAGACGCTCACACCTTATCTTAGGGGTCCAAGGATCAGCTGGGAGCCGGGGATCACTGGCACCTTCCGTGGTCTGCTCCTTGGCTGGGGTCACAGTGTGAGGGGGGCTCCTGCAGATCGGGGCAGAACAGAGGGGCCAGGGTGCATGTACAGGCCACGATGAGCCAGTGAAACCAGCTCTCTGTGGGCAAACGGACCGTGTCAGGTCCGGACAGCCCTCTGCCACCCGCCTGTGTGGCCTCTGCTAAGGGGCCCACAGCCCTGATTCCTGGGCCCCATGTGTCTTGGAGTTGCTCAGCGCTCTCTTGATTCCCCAGGACACCTCTCAGGAAGGGCAGGGAGCCTGCTGCCAGCTGGCCCTGGCTCAGGGTACAAGGGAAGCCCAGCTGCACTGTCCGGCGACTGGATGGAGCAGCGCTGGTGAGCTCAGGGTCCTTGCTGGAGGGCCGGAGCCACCATGTGGCGTCCGTCTCCCGCTCACAGGCAGGGCGGCCTCACTCGGCAAACATGGGCTCCCTCAGAGAGGCCCAGACCCAGGCTCAGAAGGTGTTGGCAGGGCCTGGGTCCAGCCGGGTGAGGACCAAAGGTTAGCCTGGAGCACCCAGTGCTGGGCTGAGGGCCCGAGGAATCTGGGGAGCATCCTGGAGGTGGCAGACCCCCAGCCCCAGGCTTCTTACTGCATCCAACCCCGGCTTGCCACGTCCCAGGGCCCTGCTGCCAGGCACAGTGCCGCCCCTCCTGCCCCCACGCCAGCCCTGCACAGGCCACATCTGCTGCTGCAGCCCCGCCAGAGCTCCGCCTCCCCAGCTCTGTCCCCATGGAAACCGGGGTGGGAGGGGGCGGGGGGGGGGCGGCCCTCCTGCTGCATTTGGCCCGCTGACCGGTTTCCATTAGAGCCAGCCTGCTTTCCTTGAGCCCTACCCCTCAGTTCAAGGCTTCCGCCCATGGGTTTCTTCCCGCATTTACTGAGCACCAGCCTTCTGTGCCAGGGGGCCCTGCTGTCGGCCACCCGCCCGGATGACACCCACGGTGGAGTGAGTGCCTGAGGGCCCGCATTTCCCTGGCCGTGGCTGCTCGCAGTCTTGGCAGGCTGCAGGCTCAGACCCAGTCCTTTCTCACCCACATCAGCAGCTGCCGAGGACTGAGCCCTGGACTTGGGTCCGTGGCCCCCTGCTCCTATCCTGGACGGGGGCCTTGAGTAAACCCCTTCCTGTCTCCGGGCCTCAGTTTACCTATCTGTAAAATGAGAGGATAAAACTGTTTCTCCAGTTCCTTGTGATGCCAAACAAGAAAAAGAAACAAAGAGAACAGGAAGCTGCAACGAAGCCAGCTCTTCAGAGTCCCAGCTCTGGGACTTTTGTTTGTTTTCAAAGAGGGATTTTTTTTTTTTTTTTTAACGAGAAGGAGTCATGGAATTTGACCAGAGACGGTGGTTTGAGAGGCCGAGAGCCCGTCGAAGCTTGTGCACCCCGGGCATGGGAAGGCCCCGCCCCTGGCTGTGGGCGCCCAGATGCCTGGGCAGTTGTGCCCGCCAAGCTCCACTCGGCATCTGTCGGGTGCCTGGCTGTGAACGCGGTGGGCGGAGGTGAACCGTGCCCGCGATGGGATACAGAGGGCTCTGGAAAACTACCCGCGAGGTTTCCGGAGGTCAGAAATGTGGGCAGAAAATGAGGTCCAGCTTTAAAAAAACTCAGCCGGCTCCTCTCCTGGGGAGACAGGGAGGGCACCCTGCTGCTCGGCTGACTCGGAAGCTCCCGCCCAGGCCCGGCCCCTGGCAGCGGCCCCCAGACCCAGTCGGCCGCCCTGGTGGGGGGGCCTCTTCCCCTCCACTTCTCGGGAGCTGGGGAGTTTCACAGGAGGTGATGTGGGGCTGGGGGGCTCGGCTGTCCCATGGGGGGGGTCTCTCAGCTTCTGTTTTTTAATCTCACAGACATTGTGGGGGCTGGCCTCTTCTGGGGGACACTTCCCAGCTCACAGACAAGGAGCACAGCCTCGGAGGAGGGAGGCTTTCGCGGTAGCCAGGAGCATTTACCTGGTGTCTGCGAAGACTGCTCTCAACCCTGGGCTTCAGCGTCAGCCGTAAAATGGGGATGAGTAACTGCAGGGTTGTGAGGGGATGAGGGGGAGTTGAGCCAGGCAAGATAAGTGGTAGGCGGGTGGTGCCATCACAGCTGAAGCCCCCACCCCCCAGCATCCTCATCCTGAATGGTGCAGGCCGTGCATCCTGGGGTGGCCGCAGACCCACCCTGGGGCTGACACTCACCCAGCCCGGCCCCAGGGAAATGGGGACAGGCAGACGTTTCTCCAGGTCTCCAGGACCTGCTACTGGGAGGCCTGAGCTGAGGTGTTCCGCCTGACCCATCTGGGCCGAGGGGCTGGTACAGTCAGTCCCCCTCGACTGTGAGCCAGCCTGCCACCCCACCCGAGGTATCCTCATTTCTTCACAACCCCGTGGCAGGCGCAGCAGCCCGTAGGTCCGGGGGACATTGTCACCGCAGCTCAGGGGCTGTTCCACGGCATTTTCAGTTTTCTGTCCTGGGCAGGAATGAAACTGGTTTGAGTGGCCGTATCCAGGTAGCCATTGCCTCTCCGGGTGGAAGTAAGGTAGGCCGAGGGAGCTGGCTCAAAGAGCAGGCTGCCATGCTGGCCGAGGTTGATTTAGACGTACAGGAACACTGGGATAGTGTAGGAAATGGGGGATATTTCCCCAGGGAAATGGGGAAGAGCAGAAGGAGGAGCTAAATGCCCCAATAACTATAAAGCCTGGTGTGGTGATTTATGGCAGATGGGCACACCCTCCTGTTGTCTCTCCGTGTGTCCAGGGATCTTCTGCGGGTGTGGGGCCAGTGAGGCTGGTGGGTGCTGCCTAGTGCGTAAGCTCTGCTTTGTCTCCTGGGGACTGAACCCCTCCGTGTGCTGGGCCCTAATGTCTGTTATCTAAGGCAACTTTGTGGAGTCCCGACCAGGTGCCCACCGGGAAGTTGAGATCTGGGAGGCTGAGCCCCTTGCAGATCCAAACAGAAGAGCCTGAGCCAGACTGGCTGGCATCCTAAACCCCCTGGCCCTCCCCTGTGCCCTCAGCTGCATTTGGGGCCTCTGGCAGGCAGGACCCAGGAGGTGGCCCATTAGAACGATGATGAACAGAGTTGGGTGGCAGCTGACCCTGCTGGTGCCCATGAGAGGGGAAGCAGCGGAGGCCACAGAGTTGGGCAAGAAGCAGGAAGGCACATTTCTCTGCCTTGGGATCTGGGCATGCTCTGTAGCTCGGTGTGAATACACCTTCCACAGGTTGGCAGAGCACAGGGGAGGCCGCCGCCATTCCAGGCAGGCTGCCTGCTTGGTGTACCAATTTGGCCTGACCTTGGGCCGCCCCCGCTGGGGACTTTCCTCTGCTATGACCACACCTATTCCCCTTCCTCCCCCCTTTACTTGTGGGGTCATCCCTGCAGCCACTGACCTACAGGGTCATCCCTGACTCCCCTCCCTGCCACATCCAGATCATTCCCCAGTCCCGCCCCCTTTCAGCCTGGCCCCCACATCACTTCTCCCCCGCCTCCACATTGCCATATCTTGCCCAACCAGGGACATGTGATCACGCTGCAGACCTCTGCCCCAATTCCTACCCTGCAGGGCTACCATCCAGCTCCTGGCTGATGCCCGGTCTCCCATCTGTGATAGACTCAGGAGGCTTGCGTTGCCCGCAACCCATGGCACCATCCCCCATCTCTCCAGGCTGTTGCACAACATCACCTCCTCCTGGAAGCCCTCCCTACTGCCCACCTGCCCACTGCCCTGCAGGACTGTGACCCAAGCTTGGATGATCGGTTCGTGCCCGTGTCTGCTGAGGAAAACTGAGTGCCTCCGGAAGGACAGGCCAGAATCACCAGCCTGGCACTGGGCAGGCTCTTGGGGAACGTTTCATGAATGAACGAAACAGAATCCAGAGACTGAAATGGAAGAAGAGGGGGCCATGGACCAACCATGCGTAGTGCTGTGGCCCAGCCACCAAGCCTGCCACATCTCCTGGGGAGTTGGGATGCTCAGAGAAATAAATGGACAGGAGTTAATTTTTCTACCTCCACTAGGTATGCTCCCTTTTAGGACTAATCTGAGGGGCTCTGAGACCACGCCTCATCACAAGCCGTGTGGCAGTGCCCGATGGAGAGGCCCACAGAGGGACAACGTCCAGGTAACACCAGCCACTGCCCTGGGGGTTTCAGTCAGGAAGACCAGCTGTTACAGGTGTATGGACGTCTGGGGCCATTGCTCTCAATCACTAGGTGGGAAACGCAGGCATCTGTTGGCCCATCAGATGTCATCAGTGGGTGACAGCACATTCTGCTAATTTAGCTCAGATGTCACTGCTTCCGGGGGTCCCCGTCCAGGTGGTCCTCAAAACCACAAGGTCCCTCGCCTCCCCTCCTCCAGCAGTGGCAGGTCAGCCTGGGGCCTGCTCAGGCCCTCCGTCCCACCTGCCAGTCCCCTCTGCTGATGGCCTGCTGTGTGACCTTGGGCCAGTCACTCCCCTGCTCTGAGTCTCAGTTTCTCCATCTGCCCCACAGTCTCTTTGACCTCTACCTCTGACATTTGCTGGGCTCTGGAACGTTCTGAGGGGCCAGGTTTGGAGTGGCTGTCTTGGGCATGTGGCAGATCTCCTGGGCTTTGAGCCGGAACCCCGCTTCTGGAGGTCTCCCTTGGGGAAGGGCGGAAGATTTGTGCATGGAGCTGTTCGTCCTAATGCCCCTTACAAATGGGAGAACCTGGGAGCAGCCAGCCATTCCCCTGGGTTCGGTGTTTGGGTTACATAGTCATGATGAAGCTACCTGATGGGACATTATGTGGCCATTTGGAATGACACTGCAGGGTTTATAATCATGTGGGCAGCGCTTCCAGGAAAGGTCAGGGCAGCTCCGTGGATGCGTGTGAGCCCTTCCCGGAGGGCATCTGCTGTGCTCGGGGCTGGGCAGGGGCGGATCCAAAGTGCTGGCTGCTTCCTTCTTTCACTTTCCCGGATCTTGTTGATGACGGTCTGTTCCTTTTGCAATGGGGAAAAAAAGTCGCTTTAGTTACAAAACTAACAACCTGGGCAGGATGCACCCATTATCATGTTCTCCCCCGAAAAGAGACATTTGTTTACCAAAAGTGTATGAGGTCATGGGGGCAGGGGCGGCCAGCATTGCCCAGGGCGCGTCGTGGCATTTAAAAGGAGCAGAGGTGACTTGGGGGGCAGTGCTCTGAGGCTGGGTAGCACATGGAGGCTCCTTGTGGCCGGTGACAGTGGCGGTACTGTGGCTTTGGGGCAGACCCGTCTTCAAGTTTCCATTTGAGTTAGAATGTTCTGAGTCCGACACCTGGAAGTGACATCTGTGGATGAAGCAGGAGTCCTTGTGGTTGTGGGGCCGGAACGGGGAACCGCTGCTCCGCATCGCCTGTGACGGTCCCCGACTCAGTGGCGCTCAGGCGAGTGTGTGACCCTGCACCCGCCGATGGCTTGCATCTCCGGAGCCCGCGTGGTAACGAGTGTGGTGTTGGCCCCGGCCTTGCGTGAGCACCTACTGTGTATGCCAGCCGAGCCAACCGGATTTTCAATCATTCATTTTCCCTGATGTCAGCTTTGTATGGTAGGTGTAAACGGTTCCTTTTTAAGATATAAAACATGCTCAGAGCGGCCAGGTTCCTGAAGGCCACACAGCCTGGAAGAGTCTGCAGCCTGTTTGGCTCTGCAGCCTGGGCTCCCCCCAGGGCTGGCGGCTTGGCCACTAGGTGCTGTGACCCTGGGGACAGAGCCCGCCTGCGCCCTGACCACACTGGCTGCCGTGGTAGCTGCTGGCTGCAGAAGCCGCTGGCCCCAGTGAAGCAGTGGAGGTGCGGACACACCCCTGGTTTGTGCAGCTGGCACACACCCCTGGTTGAGGCTGGAGGATGTGGCTGCCCGCGGCGTGCTGGCCTGCTCCTGACCCCTCCCTGTTTGTCTCGGTTGCTCTGGGGCCCTGGGTGTCCGACACGGCTTGACCCGGGGCCCGGTGTCAGGCCTCCTGCGGCTCTTCTGCACACTGATTGCGCCCCGTGCACTATTCATTAGCAGCTCGCTCTGGCAGGGAGAATGGTTCTCCCACACGTGACCTTTGAGAGGGACCTAGTGCAATACGGAACACAAGTGTGGACAACACAGGCTGAGCCCGTGGGCCTGGTCCCTGCACCTCAGTCAACACTGGGGCTCCCTCGGGGCTCGGAGCTTCCTGCCCCACCCCACGGCCTACCCCACGTTCCCAGGCCCAGGTAGCCAGTGCCTTCCAAAGGACAGAACCACGTCTGGGCAAAGAAGCGCCACGAGGGCCCAGCCAGCCCTGCCATCCAGCAGCCTGCACCATGGGGCGTGGGCTCTGAGCGGGGTGGGCCCCGGGGCGTGCCGCCGGACGGTCCTGGGACTGGAGCAGGGCTGTGGTGGCAGGCGCCACTAGGAGCCGGCCCGGGTTTGGGGCTCCTACTCTTGTCACCTGTAAGGCTTGCCGTAGCCCCTGGGGTGGGCAGGCTGTCCCACCGCACGGGGGAGGACCATGGGCCAGAGAGGCCAGTCCTGTGGCAGGGGCCACATGACAGGCAGAGCCACTGGGTCTGGCCAGACTCCCCCACTCTCCCCTAATCCGCTCGTGGCTTCCAGAGCTTGGGGTGCTTGTGCCTCTTGAAGGACTCCAGTTTGGAGTTCACTAGTGACCCTGAGACAGGCAGGGACCCCTGGCGACCCCTTCCACTGCCACACCCTGTGACTGACCAGCCTATTGAGAGAGGGCACCGCGTTGGGAGGCTCCAGCAGCCGCAGGGGAGGGCGATGCACCCTGGAGGTTTTTAAAGGCTCCGAGGGTAGGTAACATGTTGTGTCTAACTTAAAACCCAGTGGCTGGAGACAGGCAGAAAGGGAAGCCAGGCAGGCCTGGGGAGGGCCTCCATGCTGAGTTCCAGGTGGGGCCTCTCCTACATGGGACCCCAGTGGTCACCCACCCTGGCAGTTCTGTGGCCGTCGTCGGGAGAGTGTATGAAAGGGTATGGGAGCTGCAGAGAGTCCCAGGGGAGACCCTCCCGTGAGTGCTGCTCTGAAGTCAGAAGGGGTGCCCTGCCCACAGCGACCCCCCGGGCGCTGCCCTCAGGTACTTGTGGCCGCACGGGACTCCCGTGTCTCTCGGGGACGGAACCAGGGCCCAGAGCCACACGTGCCCCTGCAGTCGGCGCTCCACCCATCTGTCAGGACAGAAGTCCCTCCTGTGTCCAGAGCAGTCCTGGGATGGCTTCCCCTCCCCAGCTCCTGCACCCTGGAAAGCAGCCCTCTGTGAGTCTGAGCCGGGCCCATGGCCCCGAGAGCAGAGCAGGGTCCGGAGCCCGTGCTGCATGAAGACAGTGCCCCGGGTTCCCAGGTTCCCGCCCCCATCTTCAGAGAGGGGCCGCTCTCAGCACAGCCTCCACAGCATCAAAGAGGGGTGGGGTGGGGGCTTGCTGTGGGCTCTACCTGGCATGTCAGGGCTGGGGTCCTAGCCTGTCCTTGGGAAGCCACCAGCAGGTCCCCTCTGTCCTTTGAGGGCTTTACGAGTCCCAGGACACCCACCGTTGAGACCCACGGCATTGCTGAGGGAAACCATGAGTGGACTGGTGGTGGCTGTCCTTGCTCTGGGTGGTTCTCTACAGGGGGCACAGCCCTGGTCCTGGCACCCTGGGTCCATGGGAGTAGGCACCCAGCCCACACCCTTCCTTCACGGACACTGGAGACCTGGAGCCCACGGTTGGGGTTGGCATAGGTGTGAACCCGGTGCCGAGGCTGGAGTGGGCAGTCAGACGAGGCTTTCCTTGTAGGCATTCTCGTCCAAGTACGGTTCTTCACCTCTGAGCACCTGGGCACTCGCCTGCGGCCAGTGACAGCCCCTCACAGGGTCTTGCGAGCACAGATGAGAGGCGGGGGTCGGGGGGCAGGTGGCTCCCGGGGGGGAGGGTGCTCCCTGAGCCCTCCCCAACCTCCCCGGGTGCCGCCGGGCCTGCTGAGCTGACTCTTTGGTCGTCTTGTCTTGCAGAATGTGGCTCATCCCAGAGCACCCCTGGGACAGCGGGACCCCTTGTGGCCTTTGGAAGACACTCTAGGACCGCACGGCCCAGGTAAATGGTCTTAGCCCTGGGCTGGGCAGGAGGCAGCCTGGGAGGTAGGTGGCCTGGCCAGGAGGGGACTGCAGACCCATCTTTTAGGAGACCTCAGCACCAGCCCCACCCACGCAGGCCCCAACCTGCCCAGAGTTGTGAGGGACAGCCTGGCCCCAAGCTGGTGGAAGAAGCCCTACTTGAGGACCAGGAGCAGGGGGCATAGGGCACGGGGTCCTCTGGCCTGCTGTGAGCCAGAGCCTCCCACCAAGTCCTGCTGCCTGCCCTGTGGCCCAGTTGCTCCGACCTCCTCAAAGCAGATGGAATCAGAGAGGGCTTGGGGCACTGGGTCATTGGCATGGAGACTCTCCTGAGCCAACTCTGAGCCAAGCACTGCCCAGCCCCCAGCCCACCTCCTACTAGCCATCCAACTAGACACTTCCTGGGTGCCCTGAGCCTCAGTTTAGCCATAAAGCTAAGGCAGGAATTCCTCCCTGTGGAGTTTGGGAGGTGCACAGTGAACCCCAGAGCACCCATAGCTTCAGGGAGGGCCTTGGGGTGGGACACAGTCTTGCACACAGTAGGCATTGGAAATCACAGGGCCTTATAATTCACTGAATTGGCCCGCCCTGGCCTTGTCCTGATGGCTTGTCCCTTCACTGGGGCTCAGCAGGGTCCAGTTCCATCATTTGTTACTGGGGGTTGGGTGCTGGGTGCTGACTGAGATGAGACAGCAGGTCCGCTGCCCCGCGCCCCCTAGGGACTTGCAGGCAACCTCAGCCCCAAGCGGCCGGGGGCCTTGGCCTTGTTCGCAGTACCTCTGCAACCAAGAGGGTCTCAGGCCCCAGGCCTGCTGTGGCCATGTGGCTTCAGGTCGATTTCCCAGCCTCGGGGAGGTGGCCTGGCCACGACAGTGTGGGGGGTGATTGAGTGGGGAGAGGTCTGGCTCGAGGTCAGTCATAACCCCCTTGAAAAAATGAAGCCTACACGTGTAGCCCTCACTGATCACGCAAGCCCAGGGAGAACCGAAGGGTTACATGTTTACTTGTTTCTGTCCTGCCATGTTTGGTGTATATATATATATATTAGATATATACCTATATTTTAAATTAAGTGTATTGTAAATTATGTTATTGCATGTATATTCTATTAATATATGATGTATATGTGTTATGAATTTCATGTGCATGTACATGTGTACACACACAGAGCAGCTTAGAGTGATGTAGACGATACAAAAGGGTAAAAATAAATCGCCAAGGAAACTGTGGCAAAGGGAAAATCTAAGGTAGGCCTAGAAGAAGCCATGTCATGTAAAAGCTTCCCAGTTGCGGGGGGTGGGGGCCCTATAAATTCAGCTCTGAGCTTCCTAGAAGCCAAAGCAAAGAGGGAAAGTTTATCCCGTGCTGGAGGTAATGTTTAGGGAGTACTGTCTTCAGCAGTGGTGCTGAGAGGGACCTGCTTGGTGCTGACACTCCAAGATGTCCCGAGCACCCAATGAGGCCAGGAGAGGAAGAGAGGGGGGAGCTCCCTCATGCTGAGCATAGCTCTGTTCCTCTCTTCATCCTGAGCGCTTCGTGCATTGTTTCTCTTAATTCTCTCCAGCCCTGAAAACCTAGATAGAGAGAAAGGCATTGAGGGCCCCCACTCTGTACCATGAGCTTGACTTTGAACTTGCAAATCCATATCCTCACAGCCACACATGCTGCCAGCTACTGCCCCTTGGAGAGGGGAAACCCCCAAAAACCTGGGTGTTTCAGCCCCTGTGTTTTGGGCACACAAAGTCACATCAATGCGGTGGCTTGTCAGCTCCCTCTGAGAGGCTCTGGGTGGCCTCTGAGCCGTGCTAGGCCTCATGGGGCCTTAGGGAAGGGTGGGCTGGAGCTGGCAGGGTACAGTGCGGGCTGTTTCCTGGGACTCACCCAGCATCTCTCCCTTTCCAGGTCTCACCACTTCTCCCGGCCTCCTCATCCCCAGGTGACGCCTAAAGCTCACGTCACCCTCAGGTCAGTGCAGTGTTTTGAATGACTACCCACCCCCTTCCTTCAGGTACCTAGGCTGGGCATGCCTGAGTCGGGGTATGCACACACATGTAACACATGGGCACACACGTGGATATACCCACACGACTTCTGAAGGCCTGAGAGCCAGGCAGGCACTTTTTACACGTTTGTAGAGGCTCTGCAATCTTGCTCTGACCTTGGCCCCCTTCTGCAGCATAGGGACCAGGGCTTGCCCAGGTCTCTTACCTGTAGGAGCTGGTCTCAAGCCTGTTTCCTCGGCCCCCTTTTGCACGTAAGTTGAGTGAAGCTCTGTTTGCAAGGAGCCAGCCGTTGCGGGGTCCACCGTGGGAAGGCTTGGGCTGAGTGCTGGGGTGGGAATCCGCTGGGCGGTTTGCAGTGTGCGTGGAGTAGGGCAGAGCTCACGGCCTCATCAGGTGAGAAGGTCCTCAGCCTGCTGCTCTTATGTCACGGCTGCCTTGTGGCCCTGACAGAGGCCTGTCCTACTCAGGGCCAGCCCAGGTGCCTTGCCCACACCCTGCCCCTCCCGAGAGTTGGCCCACAGTACAGACTGTTGTGCCCACTTGGCTGATTCTAGCCTCCTGAGGAATCGGGACCATGTGGGCTGGGGCTAGACAGGCGTCATCTCCCCTCCCCTGCTGTTGCCATGGCCAGGGGCAGGCCCGCCCCCCAGATCTGTGTGGAGAGCACCCTGGGCTGCTGCGTCTGAGCCCAGGACCCCTCTGCCATCTGGGCCTCGCATGTTTACAGGTCTAGCTCGCCCGCCAGACTCTGCAGATGCTGCCCCCGGGGCTTTTGTGTCTGCACGCAGGGCCTGCACCAGCCGGTGCCCGAAGCTGGGGTGGGACACGGGTGGGGAGGTGGAGAGGCCCCCGGGGGACATCAGGGACAGAGGGGAAAGGGGGACTTGGCGGGGGGATAATGGAGGAAGGGGGAGAACAGAGTGCAGGCAGAGAGGAAGCTGGCAAGGCTTGGAGGAGGAAGGAACACAGCAGAGCGGCCGCAGCTGTGCAGGGAGTCGCTGGGGAAACGGGACCCGAGGGTTCGGTGCGGCCTGCTGAGCCTGCCAAAGGCCATCAGTCCAGGTGCTTTCCCGGCCCCCCACTGTGGAATCCCTCCCATGTGCCCTGGGCAGCAGTGGCACCGGGAGGCGGAGGCCCTTCAGGATGCCGGGTTGGGCAGGGGGACAGTGGCTCACTGGAGCTTGTTTATTCACGGGAAACCGAAGCTGGGGCCGTGGGCCTGGCAGCCCATAGCAGAGTCACAGTGAGAAGCCACATCTGCCAGCTCCAGGACTAACAAGCGTCTGGTGCCCACAGCTGAGGTGGGGCAGGAATTTGTTCTAATGCCTAATATCCAGGTACCTTTATTTACCCAGACTGAACAAATTAAGGACTTAAAAATAACCTTGCATTTGATTCTGGTCCCAGTGAAAATATTGGCAAAATACAGACGATTGGCTTCGTTAAACACTTACCTGTTGGCTCTGAGCAGCTCGCTGGGAGAGGATGACCCCAGTGAGAAGGGGCGTGGTGGGCAGACCCGTGAGGGTGGGCGCGAGGTCGTGTACCCTGCACGCTGCACCTGGATGGGGTGGCTGTGCCGTTCAGGTGGCCTGCTAGGGCACTCCTTGTTCCCATGTCAGGCTCTCAGCCTGACACCATTCCAGTGAGCCGTTGCTTTTAGTGACAGCCCTGCCGGGTGGGGATCTTAGAACAGCAAGGTCGAGGGGCCAGCTCTGGCCACCAAGCTGGCCAGCCTCACGGCAGGGGCCCAGGAGCATGTGGTCACTTCAAGATGTTGGGGTCCCGCTGTAGTGTCGGGCTGCCTAATCCCAAGAGGCAGCCTCCCTGGGGGGCAGGCAGGAGTGGGGGCAGGGAGGGGGCAGTTTGGGCCTGCTCTGGAATCGTGCCTGGGGTGGGCCAGGGGTTTGTAAGGAGTCTTTCTGTGGCGTGAAGCCAAGAGGCCCCCAGAGTCAGTGCCCCTGGCAGTGCCTAGGGCTGCTGCCTGGACTGCCCCAGGCTGGCCTGGGCTTGGCCAGACACCGGGTCCCTGGTCAGAGGCTTTGTTCCCTGGACACTACTAGGCTGCAAGCTCAGCCTGGCTAGTGCTGGACAGGGAAGGAGCAGGGCCTGCTCTCCTCAGTGGTCAGACACCCCAGACCGTGCTCGGGGAATTGGGGAGCCAAAAGTCCGTGTCTGGGATATGAGGCTTCCTGGGGTCACCCAGTACAGAGGGGTCCGGCCCTTCCAACAGCTGCGTCTCTGGGTCTCCAGTCCCTCATCCCTAGAATGGTGGCAGTGGGAATGGTAAGGCCTGCCCTGGCTGTGTGACTGTGGGGAAGTGGCTGAGCTGTTCTGTGCTCATTCCTCATCTGAAGTTGCCATGGGGACTGAGACACCTGGTGGAATGGGGTCGGGTCAGGGCCTGGAATGCCACAGTGCCAGGTGTTTGTACTCGCTGGGTGCTGACGGGGGGCGTGTGCCCAGCACACAGTGTGGAGTTCACAACAGTGTTGGGTGAGTGGGGACTGGGACCCAGGCCTGCAGTTGTGAGGCTCGCTCGAGCCCAGGGAAGCTGCTCTGGGAGAGGTCCTCAGTGAGGATGGCTAGAGAGCTGTCAGGACACAGGTGATGGGGACAGTGGCACCTGCCCTCTGCGCCCCAGTCTGTCACCACAGCAGCCCTGCCCTAGAGAAAAGGCGTGGGGCTGACCTCCTAAGTCCACACTCTTGTTTCTTGGCACAGGCCCTGCCCCTGGCTCGGGTCAGCCCGTCCCTGTCGGAGCACAAAGCCCAGGCTGCGTCCCAGCTGTGGGATCAGCGTCTCCCTGACCCATCGCCCTTATGGGCCCCACTGGCACAGCAGGCCCAGTGCACCTCGGCCCCGGGTTTCGGTCTGCACGGGCTGAGTGCGGCCTATCCCTGTGCTGCATCTGAGGTTCGGGGTAGGATTTGCTGGAGATATGTGGAGACCACGGGCAGGACGGAGCAGGAGGCTGTGGCACTCGGCATGCCCACTGTCTGCCAGGCTCTGCTCTGGAGAGGCTTCCCGTGTAGGGGTGTGTGCTGGGGCTGGGACAGCTGCGTGGAAGAGATGGGGGGGCTCCTCGGCGGAGACGTGAGCAAAGTGTGGGTGGGTGCTGGACACATGGCAGCAAGGAGATGCCGGCCTGCACTGCGGGGTGGGTGTGTACACCATCTCTGGTGTGCAGGCCAGCCCCTCGGGCCACCTGGTCAGCGGAACCCAGGCCTGGGAGGCCATGAGCCTGGTATTCACCCCTCCTGTCGTCTGCACAGCCACCTGTGAGGTGGGGGACATCGGTGCCACTCCCCCGGGCAGGAGCCCGTCTCCAGCACCTCTGGAGGGTGGGAGGAGGGTTTTGGACGGTGCCACCAGCCCCTCTCTGGCCATGTGCTCCCGGGCCTCCGCAGGGCAGGGCCACACTTGCCGAGTAGCCGCTCGCTGCCTCGTGGAGCGCACCCTGCCCTTGGGCTGTTGCCGTCTGAGGTCGCACAAAATGGCCCCGCAGCCCTCCGCCATTTTGTCTGAGGCCGCAGCAGGCGGCCTGGGGGAGGAGGGAGGGAGGCCTCCGCCCGCCCCCTGCCTGCCAGGAGTGGCCTGGACAGAGCCCAGCACCGGCCCCGCCCCAGCCAGGCCTTGGCCGTGGCTGCCCTGGGCTTGGCACCAGCCAACTTCTTGGCACGATGGTCTGGGAACCCGGCCCCTCACCCAGCCCTGACCAGCCCCCTCGCCGCCCCCAGGCTTCCCCGGAAGCAGATGGGGACGCTGCACACCAGAGCCCACAGGGCTGTAATCAAAGCTGTGCTCCTGAACGTAGTCCCTGGCAGGCCCCGACCAGCTCGGACGGTTCTGGACATGACGCTCTCCCACGTGAATGGGGTGGGTCTGTTAGAGGCCACACTGGGCAGGGGAGCAGCAACCAGGGTCCTCCGCTGGCTCACCCCTGCCTCACCTGCCTGAGGAGCCTCCAGACCCCGTTCAGGCACTGTGCTGGGCACTGGGGCTCACGGTGGCCAGTCAGTCTCCCAGTCTGGACACAGGCACTGCCCATCCTCTAGAAGCAGGGGAAAGGGCTTCCTAAAGGAGGTGATGGGCTGTGTGCTCTGCAGCTCGGCCTCCCGTTGGCCGGGCCAGCTGACATTCTGCAACACACAAAGCCTGATCAGGCCGTGTGCCCCCAGCCCCGCCACAGCTACCCAGCCCTGACCCCTTTAGGTCTCATAGACCCAAGACCTCAGCTGCCCCGCAGAGCATTTTACCCAGCTGGGAGCAACCAGGCATCTCCCTGCCCGCTGGGGAGCCCCTGGTCTGCTTCTGAGCCTCCTGCTCCGGCTCTGGGCACAGCACTGACAAGCATCCTCTTCCCACAGCGCCCAGCCGGTCAGAGGTAGCACCTTCCCAGGTGGAAGTGGGCATGCAAGAAGCAGGCTGCATGGCACCCAGGGAGTCTTGGCAGCCAGGGACGGGACAGCAGCTTGGAGGAGCCAGCTCTAGGCCACTCACTGTAGGACAGGGCACTCCTCTGGCCTTGGCCGGTGGACAGGGCCTGCCCCTGGGAACTGCCAGCCCAGAGGGTGTCAGTGCCCGCCTTTAGTGCCCATTGATAAGGTCCTTTATAGGTCAGTGCACCTCCTGGAGGAAGTTCACAGACATTGTTCCCTGTACAGAAGCCGGGAATGGCATTTTGGGAAAGAAAGAGTGCATTTTAAAGCGACGCGGTTTGTCTGGTGGCTTGGGGCAAGCCCTGTGCTGTTCTCTGCTTTGCGCAGGGTGGGTTCCTCACTGTCAAGGGGACCAGAATAGAAAGCACGGGTAGCAGGGTGGGGCCTCGGAGCTGCAGGAAGCTTCCCCAGGCACCTGTGGCCCAGCCAAGCCCTGCAGGCTGGGAAGGTTGCTGGACACCACCACAGGCCCTTCCCAGACACCCCTTCTTGCACTTCCCGGGGAGAACATTCCGTCGCCATGAAGTGAGGTTTGCTCCATCTCCCTCACCCCCTGAAAAACCCAGCCAAGGGCGGGATGGTGGAATGCCCAGATCAGCACCCCAGAGCCATATGCCAGGCCAGGCCCAGAGCCTCCTGGGGTCCAGAGAATCCCCCAGCAGGAGGGCCATTCCCAAGAGTGGCTGCCAGGGCGCAGGGAAAGGGGGTCACTGCAGGGTGGGGTTTCCCACACGCATTTTTTAATGACGTGGTTGCATCTGGTCCCTCCCTTCCCCCATCTCCTCACCTTATGACCCAGACTGTGGTTTGAACTGAGAATATTTTCAGATAAATAACACACTTTTGAGGTTGAAACAGTTGCCTAATGGTTAACGCCAGACGGAGACGCCCACACAGTCAGAGGCTGTACATTCTCGCTTTTTCCTCTGGATTCCAAACCAACCCTGGAATGGCGAAGAACAGCCTCCCTTACTGACAGCCCCTCCCTGGGCACAGTGGCACCTTGACCGTCCCCTGCCAGTCCCGGTACCCTTGCCCCACTTCGCAGAGCGGGCAGCTGCAGCCAGGGGTGCTGACAGCCTGCCCAACGCCTGGGCTGGTTGGAGCCAGAGCCCGGGTCTGAACTGTGAGCTGGCGACCCCTGAGCCAGCTGGGTCCTCCCGCAGTCCCTACGGACGCCGATCAGGGCTGGGTCCCGCTGTCTGGGGCCACGCGGCCACCCCAGCCAACACCAGCCGCCTAGCTCCCCAGGGGCTGCCGCTACTCCTGCGGGCTTCCAGGCTCATGCATCTGTGGCTCGGGCATCACCGCAGGCCTGGCCCCGCCCTGGGGAGTGGACAGCTGGCCCCATGCTGGCCACCCCTCCCCTCCAGTTTGGAGGTCTCTGGGGACAGGACGGCAGCCGGGTCGGGGCACAGATTCCTGAGGGTGAGGGACCCTGAGCTGGAGCGCCACACATCCATCTCCAGTGTAGCTGGACAGGGAGGGAGCCGACCAGAGTCCCCTGGGGCCCCGGAGGTGGCACGGGGCGCTGGGGGCGCCAGTTCCCCACCTGCGTGGCCTGTGTCACCCCGAGATGTGCAGGGCTGTGGGAAGAAGCTGGGTCAGAGAAATCCGGATCCAGTTCTGGTCTTGCTGCTGCGCCCCCAGGTGCGCTCCTGGGGGCTGAGGCTGTGGGACCCGCACTCGCAGAGCGGCTGGGGCCCGAGGCGCCGGGAAGCAGCAGGGACCCTGAGTCATCCTGTCTCTACAAAATTGGGTATTTTTATACCATGGGCCTTTCTGCATTCAGTTTTATTTTTTTAAGTTTTACATTAAAACACTTGTCTCGGTTACGGAGCTTTGGTGCCCCATAATTGTGTGCCTGAGGTGAGTGTCTGGCACCTCACCTGTCAGGCCCCGCCTGGCACACAGTGGGCACAAATCCCCTGCCCTGGCCTGAGTGGGTCACGCTGCCTGGTGTGCACGTCTCATTAACTTTGTGTGGGCTGTGTTTGCAGGGACACTGGACCCCTGCCCCAGCGCCCGGATGCCACCCCCATGTCTTTCCCCCAGACTCCATTGTGGGTGCAGCTTGCCGAGCAGAAATACTGGCCACTTTATGGGGAGAAACCTAATAGGGGCGGCAGTGGGGGTGCAGCCCTGGGGGGGTCCTGGCTCCTGGTGGCCTCGAGCCAAGCCTGAGGTGACTGTGGGGTGACACCGTCTGTCTGCCTTACTCACTCCAGACATCCATCCACCCGGCCCTGAAGGGACCACCTGCCCACCGAGGCCTCCCACACACCTGTCCCTGCGGCCTGGCCCCTCCCATCCCAGCCTGCCCAGCACCCAGTCTGCAAGCAGACAGACATTGCAGGGCTGGGGCGGGGCCAGTGGGGCAGCTGCCAGATGGCAGGGCGCCTGCTGACGGCCCACTCCCCGGCGGTCCTGCTCAGGGAGCCCCTGCCCGCGCGCGCTCTTGCCCACCCTGCCACCAGCCCTCACCCAGGCTGACTGTCTCAGGATCCTGCCTTCACCCCAAGAATGGGGAGGTCTCTGCTGTCCCTGTCTAAGCCTGAGGACCAGGCTCACACCTAGGACTGTAGGGTAGATGTGCCCAGCCCAGCGAGTCACACCACTGGCACAGTCTTTCCCTGACTAGCTCAGAAATGTCACCACCAGTGGGTCACGGATCCACATCAACTTCCTGCCACAAAGGCCCAGTTAACCGCTTAAAGGAAGAGCCAGGTTCTGTGTGAGCCCTCCCATGGTGGGGGTGAAGCCAGAGGGGACCCCGCTGGGGCCACGTTACCTGCTCACTGGTCCCCTGGAGTGCCTGCAGCAGGCAGCATGTGCAGGCGGCCCGCCCCAGGCCCTCAAAGGCACTGCTCCCATCAGCCGTGCCACCTGCCGCTGGGCCAAGGGTTCCAGATGTGAGGCCTGGGGCCCCAGAGGGCAAGGCTGGGCGCCAGAGCCGGGCAGAGCTGAAATTCATCTTGGGGCCCCCCGAGGCCTCCCCTTGGGTCATGAGAGAGTGCAGAGGCCAGGCAAGGCTAGAGGTGGGGAGCTGGGGAAGGCTGGCAGGTGGGCCGAGGGTGGTGGGGGAGGATTCCTGGGGGCATTTTTCTGCTGGACTGGGGAGCTGGCATCTAAGGGCAGGGCAGGGTGGGGGCAGTGGGAAGGAGCAGAGGTGAGGCTTTGCAGAGGGCATGAGCTCCGGTGATGGACGGCCTAGCCTCTGGGGGCACTCGGAGAGGGCAGGACCCCACACAGCCCAGTGGGTTGGGTGCGGACACTGAGCCCCAGTGGTCGGCGTGTAGCGGGGCTGCACAAGGCTGCACGTCCAGCCTCTCGGGCTCGGCCAGCAGGCCAACTGTGTGCTGGTCTTGCACCTGTGTCCCTTCCCATGCGGACTTGTCCCCCCAGCTCCCCCCTGCATGCCAGCTCCGGGAGGGCACCCTGCTGGGGCCAGATGGGTTTGTGCCCCACTGAGCACGCCCTGACTGAGGCCTCAGGCTGGGTCCTGGGAGCTGGTCCTGGGCATCTCTGCTCCTGGGAGGACCCCAGGCCTCACTTGCCGTGGGGCAGGAGCCCCAGCCTGTCTGGAGCCTCCTCTGGGAAGTGAGGGCTTCAGCCCCTCCTCCCAGCCCCACCAACTGCCAGGGATCCAGGAGGGCAGCATGTCCTCCACCCTCCCCCAGGCCCCGGGTGTGAGCGTGGCATGATGCTGGCCACCCAACATGGAAATTCCAGCAGCTCTGACCATTCAAGGACAAGGCCCGGTTCTCAGTCATATCTGATCTGGTATTATCCTGCACGAGGTGGCCACAAAGGCCATTCTCTCCAGGTCCTTGCATGAGGGCGTCCCCAGGTGAGGTGGCAGCCAGACAGGCTGGGTCAAAATGCAGGACACATAGCTGGTGGCAGGGCGAGTCCTGGGAGGAGGCACAAAGCAGTTGCCGGAGCTCCAGCGTGCCTGCATGTCTCCGAAACCTGACCCTTGTTATTTTTTTTCTAAAACCCAAACAGGTCGAGAAGTGACACTGAAACGAAAACTCCTGTCCACTGCAGACCTTCCTCTGTTGTCCTCAGAAGGTTCTCTCTGGTCTCCCCCATTAGACTGGACATGGCCTGAGGAGGCGAGGATAGAAGAGGCGCACGCAGCCCCATCTCTCTCTGCTCTGTGAGGACTCACTGTCCCCAGGGCTCAAAGTCAGGTGCACCTGCACCCCCTGGGCTCACCCTGCCTTGAGGGCCCCCTCTAGGACTGGGAGTCCCTGACGTGGGCCCCTTTTTTCCGCCTGGCTGTGAACCAGCCCTTGAGTGCAATCCTAATATGCCCAGGCCACCTGCCGTCCACCCGAGATGCCACGCAGGTGAGTATCCTGGAACCCAAAGGCCAAATGAGGGAAACTGAGTCACGTCTGCTTCTCCCAGACTGGGCTGGGGACCGGGGATGGGGTTCATGGCACAGGCTGTGTGTCTCCTCTTTTCCTGCCTGTCTCCCTGCCCTTCCCACCCCGTGGAGCCCAGCCTGTGGCTGGTCTGTTATGCAATCAGTGCCCCCCAACTGGTGCTGGGCCCTATTGGGTCAGCACTGCCGGCTCTGGAGCTAAACCCTGGCCCCTGGGTGGGGGCAGGGGAGGGGGGCGCAGGCCACAGGGCAGGGTCTGTCTCGTCCCTGCAGTGGCACAGGTGTGGATTCTGGCTCTGATGCTGAATAACGGTGGTCTGCCTGCTGCTCAGATCCCCTGAGGGGCGGCTGGGCCTTTACCCCACATTGTAGTGAGGAGATCAGGGCCTGTGAGGGCATAAGATGTACCCAGGGAAGCACAGCAGGGGGGTTCCCGGGCATCTCCACCGACTAGGCTGCCCCGCCCCTGCCGCCCTCAGCCTGCTAGGGCCTGTGCTTGGAGCCGTGTGGTCCATGTGGCCTAAGGGGGCTGAGTCTGTGAGCCCGGAGCACACGCTCAGGGCGCCTCCCTCAGGGTGCCCCTGAGATGTTCAGGGGCAGCCCTGGGCTGGGAGCCTGGTTCTTGGCTGCCCCTGTCCCCAGCGATGAGGCTCATAAGGGCCGGTCACCCCGCAGGACAGCTGGGCAGGCCCTTGACAGCCAGCCAGAATCTTTTTGCCTGGCTCACTCACCATGGCAGGGGTCGGGGGTCAGAGGAAGACCCTCGGCCGCTCTCCTCTCAACCCCTGCCCCAGAGGTTGGCTGACTCTCCCTGGCATATCCTTGAGGACACCCCAGTCCTGTCTACCAGCTAGCCAGTCCGGGGGGAAGCCACAGGACCCTGAGACCCTCTCATGTAATATTTTATTCTGGGCCCTCAAAGGGACATGGGCCAGCCAGGTCCTGGGTAGCGGCCAGGCACTCTTGTCCCCACCCCCAGGTGGCTGCATCTCAGGCTTCCCCTCAGTGGACAGCGCTGGGCCTTGGCCCTGAGCCTCTTTCATTGCTGGATGAGGGTCCTGGGACTTAAGCCATGACCTCCAGTGGGGAAAAAGGCAATTGCCCTGCACAAGGCGCCATCAGTACAGCCCCTGCACCCAGGGGCTGTTCCGGAAGCTGCAGCTGCCCCACTTCTTGGGACTGGGCATGAGCCGCCCCCTCAACCTTGTAGCAGGGGCAAGGCCCAGCCTGGGAAAGCCCAAGAACAAGACCCCCGCCCAGCCTGGGGCCAGGGACCCATCCATCTGGGCCTCAGCATCCTCACTGCTAAATGGGGTTGGTCATCCCAGCTTCCCTGGACCTGTGACGACCCAGTGGTACAGCCCAGCCTCGTGCCTGCCTGGAGAGGACAGTCTGTTGGGAAGGGGCGTGGAGGGAGGTTTAGGGCACTGAAGAGACAGAGCTCTCCTACCACTTTACTACCACTTTTCTGATCTCCTGAAGTCTTCGGTGTTAACCTCTGCTTCCATCTGCTCACCTGCTAGGTAGGTAGCTGCACCGGTGTTTCCTCTGTGCCCAGGCAGGTGGAGGCCGTGCTGGAGGCTGTGGCTGATGTTTACAAGACTGGCTGCCATTGGGCACTGGTGCAGAGCCCTTGAAAGGCGTGATCCGCCCCAGGGAGGGACACTGGGGCCTGTGTGTTTCCCTCGAGGGTCTGCAGTGCTGGCCCGGCCACCCTCCCCAGGTTGCCTTTTGGGAGGAAAGAATAGCCTTCTCTGGCCTGCCCCATAGTGGGGACAGCTCAGGGCACCCTGAGCGGCAGGACCAACCAGAGCCCGTGGGAGGCGATCCCCGCTGACCCAGTGGCCCCTCAGGCTGGCCCCGGGCCCAGCAGTCCCTGAGGCTCTCCTGCTGGACCGAGGGTGGGCGGCCGGGTGTACACTCCCCGCACTTGTTTAACACATGCTGGCCCCCAACAAATGACAGCCTCCCTCCCAGTGCCACCGCGCAAAAGGTACTTGGGGACATGGCCACTGCTGTCCAGATGGGGGAGACCCAGCCACTGTCCAGTTTCCCCCAAGCCACACTACCCTTCCCTCCCCTTCCTTCTCCAGCAGCTGGCGTCTCCTGTGGGGCTGGCTCCTCTCTGCCTTGGGCATGTGGGCACTGACCCAGGCCCTCCGCTGACCCGCCAGCCAGAATCCCAGTGGCCTTAGCAGCCGGCTAGCCCGGCTCTCAGCCCTGTGCCCCGGAGTCCCCCAACCCCAGAAGGAGGAAGCCATGAAGCCCGTTTCGGCGCCCAGACTGACGGCCCTTTGGGGTGAGGTAGTAGGTTGTATAGTTTGGGGCTCTGCCCTGCTATGGGGTAACTATACAATCTACTGTCTTTCCTGAAGTGGCTGTAATACCGACGGTGGACGGCACATAGGACCCGTTGGGAAGGGGCGGGGGGCAGGTTGGGGTGGGGAGCAGCCTCGGCAGCGTGGGGGTCACTGGCCGCTATGCTGAGCTAGTTTCCATGTGCTGTGTGACCTTGGGCAGGTCCCTTGACCTCTCTGGGCTCCAGTTCCCTCATCTGTGAAAAGCAGGTGGGTGAGAATTGACGGAGATAGCTGCGTGTCGTGCCCAGGGCAGGGAGGGCCTCAGACTTGGCCTGCCCTCTCCCCCCACTGTGCTGACAGCCGGCGCACCCACCGGGCGGTTTGTGCAGCCTGCCCCCTGCCCACCCATCCTGTGCATCAGGCCCACGAGCCGGCCTGTCCGGACTCTCCTCCACCACATTCCCATGGCTGGCACTGGGCACCAGGACGAAGAGCCTTGGGCCCGAGGAGGACGGGGCAGCTGAGATGGCAGGGAGGCCCATGGCTCCCCCCGGCCTGCCCAGCCCGGGACGGGGCGGGGGCGGCACGGTCCTCCATGCCCGCCGTGCCTGAGCAGGAAGCAAGGAGCGCTCCTGACACCTGCACCCCTTGAGGGCACACGCCCGTCCCACCTCCCAGTAACCACGGGTAGAGGGTGTGGGCTGCACTGTGTGGGAAACCGAGGCACCGCCCGCTTGTCCCTCCTGCCCTGCACCTGCCCTGCACCTGCCCAGCCCTCCAGCTCGGCTCTGGTGGCCAAGGACCACCAGGCAGGGGCCGGGCTGGGCGTGGGGCAGTGGCGGGTGCGGACCCTCCCGCTCCTGGGGCGCCGGCGGGGTGAGGTAGTAGGTTGTGTGGTTTCAGGGCAGTGATGTTGCCCCCTCAGAAGATAACTATACAACCTACTGCCTTCCCTGAGGGGCCCAGCGGCACGCTGGGAGGGCCGCCCCATCGCCACTTCTGCACAGGAGGCCGCCGCGGGCGAGCACACCTTGACTTCAATAAAAGCTGCTCTGACATGAATCGAGAATCCCATGTTCATTTAGGAAGCCCAGCGATGGGCGATGTCAGAGGTGGGCACGTTGGCCATGGAGGAGCGTGTGTGGCCCGACTGGGGAGCTGTGTCCTGGACTGTTGGGGGCTCACCGGCTTGCCCGTCTGCAGCCCTGGCCTGCCCATCCCAGCAGCCTCTGGGCCACCCAGAGGTTCAGTCCCGGACCTCAACCCCCACTCCGCCTAGCTCCCTGGGAGCACAGGGCTGTGGGACTCTGGCGCCGAGGCATCACTCCACCCCCACCATGGTGGGGGGCCCTGCAGGCCCTTTTGCCAGGGGTGTGGACCCCAGTCGACAGCTCTGTGTGCAGTCCAGGGCTGGCCCCAAGGCCACTGCAGCACCTGGCCCTTTACTGGAGCCTAGAAGCCCCCCCAGGACAATTTCTGGGGCACAGTCCTTATTTAGGGTGCCCATCTTTAGGCCAGATGCCATCCCAGATGTTCACCCACGATTCTCCCAGATGCCTTGGGTCCTCATGCGGGCAGCTGCCACAGGCCTATCCCCAGGATCCCAGCTGGGCATTCAGAGAGGGCCACCCGTGCCTGACCAGCACCAAGAGCAGCCCTCGGGCGGTGCCGGCATTGCTGGGTCCACACCCTGCCCCATGCCCAAGGTGCCCAGCGCAGATCCTGGGTAAGGCACCACCTTTCCTAACTGGGCCAGGCCCCCAAGGCTCCCCACAGCCCCCTGCTAAAGACAATTCCAGGCTGGCCCTTTACAATACCCTGGGGCACACAAAACCGGACACCACCATACCCCCCAGTGCCCCAGCCTGATGGGGACAGATGGGACACTGCCCTCAGATGGTCGTCGGGGACATGGACCAGCAGAGGCTGATCAGCCAGGTGTGAGGAGGGGCTGGTTGAAGCGGGCACCTCTTGCCAGTGCACAAAGTGCCCAGGCCTGGCCCTCCTGCTCTGAGTGTCCCCAAGCTGCTGTATTGGCCCCAGCTTCCATCCCAAGTGTCCTGGCCTCCTGCCTGGTCTTTGCAGACCCACTAGCTTCACATGGCCGCACCTGGGCAGACCAGCAGGCCCCCACCCAACACCCATAGGTGCCCACCCTCACCCAGGCCCACCTAACCGCAAGGATCTGCTGCTGTTAGGCCATGGGTCGGGCCGGGGGAGCTCAGAGCAGGAGCCGTAGACAGCAGGGAGGGCGTCCTAAACGGGCCGCCTGAGCTGGGTCTTGATGGCTATGTAGGAGTTTCCAGCTGGAGACGCAGAGGAGAGGCCCTTGTATGGGGTGCTCCATTGTCCCCTCCTGTCTCCCCGGGGCCAGGGCCAGTGACACACTTGGGCCCTGACCCCCTCCCCTTCTTCACCCCGTGGTCAGTCAGCAGCCGCCTGGCCACCTGTGTCCCTGAACATGTCTGCCCCTTCCCCCTCCATCCCTACTCCCACTGCTGGGCCTCAGAGCCTTTCAGACGGGCCCCCTGCCCTTGTCCAGGCCCTGGGCCCCTGTGCACACCCGCCCACCCTTCCTGCCTAAATGCCCGCAGCTCAGGCACTGCCTTTGAGCACAGTACCTGGGTCTGTGTCTAAGCCAACCAGCACTGAATGCCATGGAGGCAGTTCAGCCCGTCCTCCTCGCACCTCCTCTGGGCCCAGCCCCGCAGTCGGAGCCAGGCTCTGCCCAGGGGAGCTCATGGCCTGCTTGGAGCTGCCAGGGGAACACAGCACCACCTGTTGGTCAGCACCCTGATGGGCAGCCCAAGACCTGGGAGAGCCCTGAGGAGTCCTGGGCCCAGCCCTACAATCAGGATGGCTTCCTGGAGGTGGCACTTGTCTCACCCTGTGTCCTCCTCAACCTTCCAGCCACCCACCTACCAGCCTTCCCTTTTCCAACTGGCTGTCCCTCAGAGACAGGGTGTGGAAACCCCTCCAAATGTGGGCCTGATATGGGGCCAGGTGCCGCCCATTGCCTGGGCATCAGGGCCGTGGAAGCAGTTCAGTCCTGAAAAAACTGGATGAAGCCGTTGGCATGGTCAGCACCGCTGGTTTGTTTCTATCCCAGTCAAGGTGGGCCGCCAAGGAGGAGAGACTGTCAGATCAAACGGCCCCTGGGTGCCCGGGTGGGCCCTTCCAGGGACCACAAGGCCATCTCTGACTTCGGCCCCACCAGGAGGGATGGCTGAGCCTGTCGAGCATTTAGACCCTACAGCCCGGAGACAAGCCAGGGCTCGCCGGGCATGTGGGCACCAGGGCTGGCCATCACCCAGGCCAGGACTAGGGTGCGGCGGCAGGGCAGCGTTCCAGGGGCTCCTTACTCTGAAGGTCACTGGCACGGCCGGCCTGCATCAGCACAGGGGGCACAGAGCTGGCCCACATGCTGGTGGGGGCTCACAAAGCAGGTTCGTTTCCTTTTTTTTTTTTAATCTAAAGGAATATTGTATACAACAATATTGAATATAGTAAGAATTTATATGCTGTATTTGTAGTGCATGTATATATGAAACATAGAACATAACATGTATAATAATGAATCCCGCCTGGATTTATTCATCTTTATATCACCCAGTTGAAAAATTGTTTTGTAATCTGTTGAATGGAGGAAGAACCCGGAAAGGCAAAGAGCCCAAGAAGGCCCCCCATTTCCTGACCAGCCAGAGGCCTGGGCCACCGCGGCTGGGGGCCCCTGCCGTTGGTGTTTCCCAACAGCGACACCGTGTGGCAGCAGCAGGCAGTGGCGGCCGTGAGCCGTGAGCTGCCAATCCCTGCCCTGTGGGAGGGGATGACCCCCTCTGGGCTGGAAGCCTCAGGTTCAAGGTCAACCCCGGGGAGGAGGCCCAGTGGCGCTTCCTGCTTCTCTGGCGTGTGGGGCCTGAGCTGCAGACTAAGTAGTAATGGAGCAGCATTTACCCGCACCCCTGCCAGTCCTGCCATGCCTGGGTGCACCCCAGTGACATGCTGGGGCACTCCTGCAACGGCCCCACTCAGCAGAAGGGGCTGAGCCCCAGGGGGCGCAGCTGGCGGTGTCCCGCTCACCGTCAGTGAGCTATCAGCATCGCTCTCCCTGGTGCCCCCTCACGGCCACACCCACAGCAAATCTGGGGGAGGCACAGGGATCCGCAGGTTGCTGCCCAGGATTCAGACCCACATCTGTCCTCAGGCACTGCCTGCTGACCCAAGGCTGGGCCCCCTGCAGGAAGGGAGACCGTCCCCAAGCCTGGAAGGTTGTCTGGATGCCCAGAGAGGGTGGCCCCAGGCAGAGGAGCCAAGGGAAAGAGAGCTGTCATGAGGGCCCCAAAGTCCAGGTGGAAGGGCGTAGCTCTGCGGTGTGAGGCAGGGCTTTGCTGTCGTGCCCATGGATCCCCTTGGCTGGGCCTCCGTGTCCACCCACATCATTTAGCGGAGAGAGACTCCCCCTGACGTCCTCTCCTGGGGCAGGCGAGGCCTGAGAGGCCAGAGGGGAGGGTCTTCAGGTCTGGCTTGCTGAAGGGGCTCCAGCCCCACCACAGCCCCCGCTGTTCCTGAGTGTGTCTGCCTCTCTACTGGCTGCCTACTTGGTGCCAAGTTCATGGTCCACACTGCTGTCAACCAGTGCCCCAGACCACCCGGCTCCCAGGGCTTCCTGAGTCTACATGGCAGCAGGTCTCTCTGGAAGGAGTCCCCAGAGGTGGGAGCAGAGGGCTCAGGCCATTAGTGTAAATAGTGGCGAGTCAGCCCCCACCGATGATGCCATGTGCAGGGAGGAGTCTCCTGTCCTTAGGACAGTGCCAGAGGGACTGCTATCCTGAGCCCATTGGTGGACATGGACACCAAGGTTCAGAGAGCAGTGACTTTCCCAAAGCCACACAAAGGCCGGGGCAGAGCTGAAACGGCAACCAGGTCTGTGAGGTGAGGACCCATAGACCCCTGCCCACCTTGCCTGGGGCTAGGGAAGGGGGATGGTGGTGAAGATTAGGGACAGGTGGGACTCGGGGGTCCCTTCCCTGTGGCCGAGGAGGCAGGCCAGGCCCAGGGCCCTCCCAGGCCCCTCAGCTGCCCGCCTTGCACATGAGGGTCCACCTTAGCCAGAGAAAGTGGCTGCCTGTGCCCCAGGCGTCTAGCCCTCAGAAGGAAGTGACTTTCCTCTCCCATCTGCCTTGACTTGGGCTCAGAGGGGGTGAGGCCTGTGCCTGGCAGGCCCGGACCCCAACCCTCCACCTTCTCCTCAAATCCTGGGTGTCCAGGCCCTGCCTCCTGCCAAGCCCCAGGCAGGCCATACATGGTGAGCAAGAAGTGCTACCCCTTCCGGGGTCTGAGAATCCACCAGAAAAGGGTGGCCTGTCCCAGAGAAGGCCTTGCCCCTCCCCTCCTCCCCTCCTGTCTGCCCACTTCCTGGGTCAGCCCCAGGGAAGTCCAGGGCACCTGGCACGCATGTAAAGCGCTTCTGGCCCAGCACCTGTGGTGGGAGGCCCAGGTAGCGGGTGGTGGGCAAGGAGGAGAAGGCCTGGGTGGGGAAGGGAGGGCCAGGTGGGAGAAGAGGAGGGGAGAAACCAGAGGGAAGGGGAGGCCTGAGGAGAGCCGTCTGCAGCAGGGGCTTCTTCCAGAGGAGGCAGGAGAGGCCGCGGAGGAGGGGCGTGCAGGAGAAGGGCTGGGGCGTGGCCCACGGGTGTCTGCCCCGGCAGCCCCTGAAGTGGCACGGAGGGGCCCCGCAGGGGGAAGAAGGAACACAGGGCCAGAAGACCACCTAGCGGAAGGGTCCCGGCTCAGCCACAGACGAGCTGTGTGACCCAGGGCAGGCCCCGACCCTCTCTGAGCCTGTCCTTCCCAGGCTGAGGACCCGAGATGCTCTCATGGGGCCGTGGGGCCTACGGGCAGCAGGGATGGGCCGCTGGAACTCCCAGAGCTGGCAAGCTCCACAGGAGGAGGCCCTGCCGCCTGCTTCCCAGAGATGCCCAAGAGGCTCCCCGGGCCAGCA